GGGGGGGGGGGGGGGGGGGGGGGGGGGGGGGGGGGGGGGGGGGGGCGATTGGTACCGGCTTACGAGGTTTCAGGGCGGACGGCACGGGCCCACGCCAGTACAGGTCCAGTGCGAGACCTATGCGCAGCAACGAGCGGCTGCTGCTGCTACCACGGAACGTGCGCTACTGGTATTCGTGTCCGTGCTGTTCCAAAAAGGAATGGTCCACCCATCTTCTCGGGACCGCACGATTTTCCAAACACCTCTGGAATAGTTGGCTGCCTTTCGCCTAGAGATGAAGGCGTCATCGCAACGTCATCCCGACCCCGCCCAAACCTCGATCCCCTCTAGGATACTACGCCTAGCGCTGCCGCGTTGTCGGCAAGAAGCAAGTGAAAGTGCCCTCCTCGATAAAAAACATGACAACCACAACGCACACCCAAAAAAAAAACGCGCCCGCCGCGGATTCGATCGGTCCCACAGCAGCACCAGGAAACGGCGGGAGCCCTCCTGTATACCAAACACGCATGGCGCGGAGCCCCTTCCACCAAAACAAACCTCGACATTAAACATCTCTCCTCACGTTCTTGTAGGACAAGTGTCCCACCCGCCGCTTGACGTAGATCCGGCAGCGTCGCCGAAGCGCCGACGCCACCGCCGGGTTTCCATCAATGTCCAGCTCCACCGGGAAGTACCGCGGGCTGCAGATCGACAGCCTCGACACGTCCTTCAGGTCCGGCAGCACGCATGGCGTCACCAGGGAAAGCGTCGTCCCTCGTACGCCCCCATCTTTCCCCTTCCCCTCCGCTGCCGGCACCGGCGCCGGCGCCGGCGCCCGGCCGCCGCTGCCGCTACCGCCGCTTGGAGCACCCTCGCCGTCCCCACCTCCGCCCGTCCTTAGCTTCTCCTCTGCGCCGTCGCTGGTGTCCATCTTGTCGTCGCACCCGACCTCGGCACCCTCCTGGCTACCGCCGCCGTTGTCGCGGTCCCCGTTGGCGGCGCCGGTGCGGTTGGCAAGGGAAACCTTGATGGGCACGAACAAGCTCTCGCCCGTGTCCACGTCTACCGCATCGACCCCTCTCCGCTGTACCGCCAACACGTACAGGTGTCGTAGGGCCTGCAGGTGGTACTGGTTGTCGTCTGCCGTTGCGGGGTACCTTTTTTTTGTTTTTCCAATGGTGAGCGGGAGGAAAAGGAGGAGGGGGGGGAGGAGGAGAACGTGTCAGACGTGGAAGCCAGGCAGCACCGTTGCAATGGCAAGCAAGCTGTATGGTTGTTCGTCATATCGAATCAATTCTGGCGCCTACACACCGTTCTCGGTGTAGTTGAAATTGTCTGACGTATTGCCCGGGGCCACACACTGGTCGCCCCCATGGTCTAGTGGTAACCTCGAAACCGCTAGTGGCACAGTCGTGAATTCGAGTCCCCATGGGGTGAAAATTTTTTAGTGTTGCGATTGAAAGCAGAAAAAAAGGTGAAATGCTCGTGGGTACCAAACTTCGAAGTTAGCACCGTTGAGGAGGGAAAGGGACGACTGGACCCTTCTCGCCATAAAAAATCTAACGCAGCACGCACCGCAGGAGGAAGGTGGGGTACGAAAATAAAAAAGAAGAAAAACGTCCCGGTCATTACCCCCGCCTGTGTGACCCTGGATGGTTGTAGTTGTACAAAAACATACGCTGAAAAGTGCAGTCCTCTACATATACTGAAATAGTGCAATACACATCTCACCACGAAAAATGGGGGGACTGTCGCCACAATAAATAGGACGAAAACACACACACACACACACACACACACACACACACACACACACACACACACACACAGGAGGAAGATCACACAGGAGGAGCTTTGTTTAGCTGCCTACGGGGAAAACTGAGAATTGTGCCTCTAACGGGGGGAACTTGTTGCCACAGCAGCGACACGTGTTACGTCACGCCCCCGTCGACAGGAAGAGGCACCCTGTGTGTTTGCACACTGCAAGTCGATTTTCGTTTGGTGCGTCATGAACCTGACCACCCTGAACAGCACGTCTAACAAATACGCCTGTCACTCTAGCCCTTGCTTGTTCTTCATCTCGTGGTCGATCGATGAGTGTGTTGTGCCTTCCTATGCATGCGATGGCCGACGTGCGTCAACAGAACGACGCGCGCCTCGACAACTGTTCTCACCAACAGTCAAGAACGCTCCCCAAGCTTCTTGAATCTTGCCGAATATGATAACAAGAAAAAGAGACGTCAAAAAAGCAATCGTACCTGGGGAAAAATGCCCCCAGGAGGGCTGCGATGTGCTCGTTATCCCTGCCCAGGGAAGCCATGCCCCCTCCCAGAAAGAGCATCCCAATGCTCATCGCTATCGCCATGTGCGTGCCGTACGTTACCTGACCGACCATGAGGGGTGAGGCCGTGGTCGGTGTTGTGGCGACAAGAAACAACACCGTGCATATGCAGACGATCAAAGCGAAAGGGGGGTGTACTCATACTCATAGTCGTGCATGCCGTAGTCGTTAGACCATTGACCTCGCATCCCTACAAAGCCGGGACGGAGCACGCCGGGTTCTCACCGGACCAGGCTCTCACAT